GTGTTGTTCTTACACTTTATTATGGTTTTACTAATAGTCACACCTTTTGTACGTATTACATAATTTTACTTTCAATGAAGCCCACTTGGATTTGGTTATTTAAGATCAAACAAAACTTATCTCTATACATGCAGTAGGCTTGCGGTTGCACCATTTGAGAGAGAGAGAGAAAGAGAGAGAATTGAGGAGTCCTGAAAAAGGACTCTCGTTTCCTGACGATGATAGTCAACCTGTTTGAAACATCGAGCCACTCCTGCCACTCATCCTCTCCAAGCGCTATAGTTCTCCTTAGAACTATAAGCTAAGAAAGATAACAGTCTTTTTCAAGACTACACAAACAGTCCTTTTCAGGACTACACACACCCCCAAGAAAGATTACCGAGAGTCCTTTTTCAGGACTCCTCAATCCTCTCTCTCTCTCTCACATGGTGTACCCGCAAGCCTACTGTATATCTACATCACCATGCAAGCCGACACTTACAAGCAGCATCTAAAACTTATCATCATCAACTCAATGAAGCAGATTTCTGGCAAATGTTTGTTAAAAGAGTATTGTGGTTACCGAGGTAAAGGTAAAAGAGATTTAATCTTTACTGTTCCCTTTCATTTTTGTTTTAATGACAGGTGCGCACAGAATATTTGTCTCTCATCTTCAGCATTTTCATCAATACCTCATACTGGGAGGACTGCCACAGGTTATCAGAGCTTGAGAGTGCCTTCGTTGCCATAGCAATAGAAGAGGGTCAAGAGAGTGAACAGGACCAACTCATTGTCAAAGAGATCCAACAAAAGTTTGGGTCAAAGTTCACAGGACAAATTTAAAGCTCTTTAAAGACCGTAGATCTTCTTTCTTTTAATGCCTCCGTTACGAAGTAGCCGGAGGCATTATGTTTTCGGGTTGTCCGTCCGTACGTACGTCCCGTTCTCGTGATCGCGTTATCTGAAGAACCGATTGATGGATTCCTGCCAAACTTTGGTCATATATGTATTTTGCAGAGCCAATGAACTGAGTAGATTCTTGGTTCATAAGGTCAAAGGTCAAAGGTCATGGGCTCATTATGTATGCAAAAATAGCTTGTGAACGCATTCTCATTAGAACTGACAGATGGATTACTATTTAACTCGGGACATCTTGCAGAGCCAATGAACTGAGTAGATTGTAGGGTCATGAAGTCAAAGATCAAAGGGTCATATATGTATATGAGAAATTGTTTATAATCACAAAATTCTGAGAACCTGTTAATGGATTACAATTGAACTGGAATTTGAAAAATTTATTCTGTTTTGGTTTGTAAAATTGCTCTATAAGGGAGGCATCATTTTCGACTGCACGCAGTCGAAGTTCCATCTAGTTTCCCCGTGATATGCTATGTATGTGTTTTGGGGGAGAAAATGTGCTCAAATTTGATATGTGGCAATTTGAGATTTAGTGAGCTTGATCCCACTGGTGCTATGTATCAGCTTAGGGTCTAGTGCTATGGTTTACCATATTACCACCAATGTATAATACAGAAATATTAATTTTACCATAGGACTAATGGTGCATATAACCAATAAGATGTAATCAAATATTTATTATGTGCATGATATTGAAAATCAAGTAAAGTCTTTCTCAGTGAATTGTACTCAGTCTCTCGAACAAAAGTAGTTTTCATAACATCAAAATATCTTTGGAAGCGCACAGGGATGTTATATCATTATGTGAAATGTGCTATACAAGAACAGAATGTTAATGTTATTATTATGAATGTGATATTTAAAGAGAAGGATGCAGCAAGATATATTTAATACTTAAGTTGAGTAACTTGAGTTTTAACATATAGTTCTTTTATGTGAAATATAACATGGAGATATGAGACATGTAACAATTTGTGTTCAGCAATCTCAAAAAGAAAAGGAAAAAAGCTACACTATATTGGTGCCCATATTTATAATGTATATTCAAGTTAGGGATATGCCAATATTCATTATTATTTATTTGCACTTTGCAATGTATGACTAAACTGGCATGTATCATCTAGCTATTTATTGTAAGTTGTCAAAGTGCCTATTAGATGTGGCAAAGTAAGTGAGATACATGAGCATCTGTATGCAGTAGTAATCATCCATCCAGCATTTTAGACGTGTTGTAAGTGAAAGGAATATGTATTTGTTTATCTTTATTATATATCATTTGATCATTATCCTTGGCATTATCATATTCTCAAATGTTACTTCATTGTAGATCAAGATCATGGTTTTGGTGAAGAATAAGTATATGTTTTTCATGAGACATAGAAGGTAACATGCTGCTGTACAAGGCCATATGTCTAGTGCTATGGGTAGCATGATTCATCTATTCATGTGCATTAATTTGAACCACCATGACAAACCTCTTTGAAGTGTCAACCAGTGTGTAGGAATGTTCCCCAGTGAGTCTGATTTATCAGTCCAAATGATCAAATCTCATTGTTTTTTGGTCATTTATATACGAAGGTCACTTTCAAAATTCCTAATCAGTATTTAATAATACTTTGAGAATCAATCGACCAAATGAACACATCCCAGTCAATTGTGAGGTCAGTTTTTGATCGGTTTCATCAGGATTTCCGTAATATCAAGTTATCCTGTTTGTCTTCTCTAAAAATCAAACATTTCATTACAAACTTCAAAGGGTTGTATTCTTCCTCATGATGCTTCCAGAACTAAAATAACACAAGTAAATCTAGCTATATCTATTTATACTATTATATCCACTTTTGTTTTGAACCAGTGAGATACATTTGGTTTGATGGTTCGATGGTTAATTTATTGATGGTTAATTTATTTGTCAAGATTGCAATATGTATCCATTCATTTTCTTCTTTGTAATTAGAACATATGTACATGTACCACTTATCTGCGGCCATAGAATAAGAAATGTTTAATGACACACTCAAGATTTGATGTATTTAAATCATAAAGTTGGCCATCATACAGTCATAACTTTGACTTTACCATTTAATCAAGATAAGGCTGAGATGCATTAACAAGTGATGACACAGAATTTTAGCATAAATGCTTTTTAATACAAAAATTGTTCATTTTCTGCTGCAAAAAAAATCACGATGATCAAGTAATTTCAGTTTGTATCCAAAGAATATTTGTTTGACGTACTCGTTTTGCTGCATCTACATTTTTTTCTTCTTCAAAACTGAAATAACTAGTAAGTCAGAAGAACCATTTTCAAGTCACTGGTTAAAGTGTATCATTTGCATGTCATAAATGAGTCAACTTTGTGTTGTGCAATAATAAGGATATTTCAAGCAGTTGAAAATGTTCCTAGATCAATGTTAGCAATCAAATGGTATTTGGCATTATGATACTTTGTGTGCCATAAAATGTATGTTTTTCGGGTTGATCAAAAGACATTTGAATAAAATCATTTGTATTGCTAAGGATAGAGACATACATCACATGTATTTAACAAAGAAGGAAAGAGAACCGGTGTGAGGTATTGGTATGCGGTTTTTACCCATCGAGTAAGATATTTTGTTCTCAAGAGCGAAATAAATCAGTCTTCAATCAGGTGTAGAAGTAGTCATAAATTGGTTATAGCAATATCTTGTTCTGTGAACTTTAAATCCTCATTCTTTATCCTTTTAGACAGCAAATCTTAAATCTTATGGATCATGAATGTGATCACTTGTGCGATTTTATGATATTATTTGTGTAATTATCAATTATACCAATACCCAGAAGTAAAGGAATGAAGTAATTTTCCATATAGGCTTTTCATTAAGTGGATTTTGTCTTGCACAAATGCTTCCAAGCTGTATCATTCTGCGTTACACAGCAAATCTTCATATTTAGATATTATTACCTCTTTGGATATAAATGTTTATTAACAGAAAGTGTATTCTCGCATTTATGGTAAATGAATGAAGGAGCAATATTCGCATTAGGTTGAGGTATCACTTTTATCATTCTAGACAGTAAATCTTAAATCTTATGGATCATGGATGTGATGACTTGTGTGATTTTATATTATTTTTGTAATTATCAATTATAACAATACCCAGAGTAAAGGAACAGCAATTTTCCATGTAGGCTTTTCGTGAAATGGATTTTGTCTTGCACAAATGCTCCCAAGCTGTATCAATTTGTGTTACACAGGAAATATTCAATGAGATCTTATTACCTCTTTGGAAATAAATGTTTATAAAAAGAAAGTGTATTCTTGCATTTATGATACCTGAATGAAGGAGCAATATTTGCGTTAGGTTGAGACATCACTTTTGCCAAAACGCCTTCCCTTTTTTCCCCCTATCCTCCCCCAATCTGTCTGTCTCTGTCTCCTTTTGACTACCTTTTTCTCTTCTTTTCTTCCCCTCTCCACCCCTTTCTTCAATCGTCAGAGGGAAAAAATATTAGAAAATCGATATTGGCAGATTAAATGTTGTACAGTATGTTCCACAACTCTACATCCCTCCAAGATTCCATGATTCCATGTAATTTTGCTGCCTCCCCAGCTATCACTCCCTCTTCTTATTTGCAATCCAGAATTGTGATTGAAGAACATATGAAAGGACCAAATTTTGCTTTCTGTGGTTATGAAAGGAATACAAATTTTTAAATTATGTATAAAAAATAAATATAAATATCTATACAAATGTATGTAGCATGAACAAACACGATATATGGAGATGTATCAATGACTTGTGCTTGAAATAAATTGAAAATTGGTGCTAGAAAAAAATTTATCTTTAATGGTCCTTATTTTTCTTCTAAATTCACCATCAACCCACACAATTATAAAATGACAGTCTATGATGAATTGGGACTCTGCTCTAATACTTATATAATTGGATGTGTCACTGATGTAAAAGTGCAGGCAAGTACATGAATTGTGCCTCGCAGTTAGTACTGGTATTACTTTCACAAAGAACTTATACAGTCTGTACCCCTAAAAAAATGGGGGAGAAAAATCAGGCTGTAGACTAACATGTACATATTCAAATAATAACATTCAGTCAGGCTTGTCCATATTTATTTGTAATTCTAGTCAGTTTTATTTTGACCTACAGTTTGAAATACAAGTCGGTTTATATACACACAAAAGATGATTCGGCAACCCTAAAAAGAAGCACATTATACAGACAAATATGGAAGAAATTCTATTACCATTAATATACAGTATATGTCATATCTTTCTAGAAACCACTTTGGCATAAATCTAATAGCAATTACCGGTACAGTTAAAATGACACAAGCAGTACAAACAAGCAGAACGGCATGAACACAACAGGGCCATGTTTTATGAAACCATTGTTTAAGTTCTTAGAAATCCTATTGAATGTCAATGGGATGTCTGTGAATTTGAGACTTTTGGTGAATGTCTGAGATGTATAGTTTTATCATTAGTTATGTACAGAAGAGATAGGAGACTGTGAACTTGCAATTGATTGGAGGTCTTGAGAATGATCAATCTCAACTCTTTATAAGACGGGCCCTGGTTTAAAGCAAGCAGGCTCCTCACCAACTATAGTGCAACTATAGCAAGATTGAGGCTTATATAAAGAGAAATAACAAGACAAACCCCTTCCCCACATAAATATTCATATATGAAACAAATATGCTAATAAGAAAGTTATACAAGTGTGAATCATTAGGTCACTGTATGTATACGAATCTAAAATTGGCAATTTGGGCACTATATTGTGACATTTGTATGGATCAATCTCCCATTGTTGTTTACAAAAATAAAATTTCTCCTTTTGGGCACTACACAACATATAAATATTAAATAATACAATTCACAACTTTCTTATCTTATGTCCAATTTCATTTCAAACTTTCACCAGTGTGCTTCTGTGGTTTATCTGCTTTCTATTATATCAGTTTGTTATTAAGGTTGGATTTCCCTTTAGTATGAGATCATAGTACGGCCTAATCTATCCAAATAAATAAACAGATGATCATTGAAGGCTTGCTTGCTAAACTTGCTATAATGAAGCAAACTACACTGAGCAAACTTCCACTTGTGGATACCATCATATTAAATCCTCTGGGCAATCATTCCTCTTGTTGCCGCCAGCAACTTGATGGGTTCCTGATACTTGGTGCACATATCTCCTGATGAGTTTGAATATAAAGACCATTCTGTATTCATGATTTCCAACCATTACAAATTTACAGCCAAAAGCATGGAATGAAAACTGGAGTACAAACACAAGAGTATCAGTGACACAGTGGCAATTATCATATTTAGGTTTAAATCAATTGCTTTATAAAGTAAATACGGCTGTTGAGATGTTTCAATTATTTCTAGAGTCTATACATTCCACCGTGTCATGAGAATGTAAATCCTTTGCTGGCCAGATCTTTCCTTGCTTCTTCGAGTTCCTGAAAAACAAAGAAAACAAAACACAAAATAAATCATAAGGTATTAGTGGTCTTCGGAGATATAATAATAATAATGATATGCATTTCTATAGCACAGTCTGTCTAGAAATTCTATCCTGAGACGCATTCATTATTACCCTGGCTTTAGCCTAGCTGCCAAAGCAGTGTCTGATGAAGCTACAAGCTGCCATTACAGTGCTCCAGCATTTCAAGGAATTAATTCATGCCAGGTAACCATTTACCTCACCTGGGTCGAGTGTGGCAAATGAAGATTAATGCCTTGCCAAAGGACATTAGTGACGTATTGGGGAACCACGACCTTTGAATTTCGAGTCAAGTGCTTAAACCACTCGACTACGACACTTTTATATAGGTTTACTTCAACTAGCAAAAAGAATGTAACATTAATACTGGTACATTAAATACACAAAATGTAGAAATTATCCCATTTTTACAAATTATAGCTGGACTAATTGACCTACAACCATGTTCATATCTCAAAGAACTATAATTCCCCTCCTTCTTTCAAAATACACCACTGTAGTACTCTTCTTCATCAACATATGTCAACATGTTTTACTGAAAATGAAAACAGCCCTTAGTCTCCTAGTCATTTTGTTCTTTACAATGGTCATCACACACATATTCTTGTGGAATAACTTAGTGATATTAGTGAAATTAGTGATACATCTTCAAATAGCTCTATTAATTCACATACGTGTAGTTGCAGAGTGATTATAGGAAACCTCACCCCAAGAAATAACTTTACTTATTCTGAGAGATATATTATATTCTTACCCATTAAAGGTACTATGTCCCATTTGCAGGCCAAAAAAATGAAAAAGTTAAATTCCAACTGCATTTGAAAGATAATACTAATTTAGAACTTCCCTAAAAAAGGTGGGGCTTGAAAATGTCTTCAAGTGGGAAAATAACGACTATTAGTTTTCAAATCGACTTTAGGGCTATAGAGCCCAAAAGTAATAGTCTTGATTTTCAGACAATTGTACCGAATGGTCATACGTTTTATGCTGCTCAAAGATTCAATCAGTTTAATCTTGGCCATCACAAGAAGTGGGTTATTGATGTAGACAAATGCTCATGTACCAAATGTTCCCCACCAAAGTGTATGAGAGAGGCATAACGCAAGAATAATGTACAGATTATCAGCGCAACATGGGCATCACCATTTTTTGTTATAACATGGAATACTAAGTGAAGTAGTTTATCAAGTAAATGTATTAAAATCTATGGATGCTTCCTTCCTAGCTGTGTGTCATGATGAAACATTTCATTCACCTGCTATTATCCTTTGTACTACAATTGCCGGAACGCAAATTGCATAAATAAGTTGGTGCTCTATATATCATATATCTCTTGTACATTTTTGTAAGGAATATTGTACATGAAAGGACAGGCATACATCTCATTTTTCAAAATACCTACACTTATTCTTTGGGGTGAGGTTTTAATGTGCCTCGATAAAAAAAGATGTGTCAACCTTGTTCATAAGTACCATTTTTGTGTAGATCTGTAAAGAATTAGGAACTCTGCTATAAATCTAAACATAACTAGGGATAGGTTGAACATTGGTAAACAGTCCAATATCTATATTTGTATATCCATGGTAATTATGACATCTAAAGATATTCTAACTATTAGGCATAGGAAACTAAAATGAAAGGGAATGTATAGCTGTTCGATGAAATATGTATTGTAAGAAATATTTACCTCTTTAAGTGAAACTACGGCATCTTCGCAATCATTAAAAGTAGCAACTCGATATCCAATGGTTCCAAGGGAAAAGCACTACCAGGTACATATAAAAAAAAACGTAAAAGTGGATGAATATCAGACTATAATATCACCAAAAATATGTTCAACATCCTTTCTTTCATGCTAATAATACACAAAAACACCACACTGACCCTACTACCCCCTCCCCCCCCCCCCCCACCCACACCCCTGCCATGCCTAAACCTGCAAATTAGAAACATAGTCTGAAGTCGACTATCACGAATAAGCAGATCAAGTACTTTTATACTTTGTAAAGAAAACTATATGAGTCTTGTACTTTTTGATGACAAACAAGTTCAAGGTTTTCTTATGCATGCTAAACTTCATGTTTTACATATTTTGGCATAACCTCTAACTCCTTCAACCAAACTACGGTAAGAACACTTCAGGTAAATTTAGATTACAAAAACAATGCAATGTAGATCTACCTGATGTTTGTGTACAGAAAACTATGAATCATCATGGTAACAAACAAATTTGGAACTTACCCCAAATACTACAAGAAAATACGCTGGGAACTGTGGAAGAAAAAAAGAAGGATTGTAGAATTTAAATCATGATCGATAAGATGAACATGTAACCCATGATTCAAATAATACAAATCATATATGCGCTTTTTAACATATTCCTAGGGATCAAACAACTTAAAATATTAAACATGTTTTTGTGGTTAATCGTAAAGTGAACATTAAAACTTTTAAAAAATTACTGAGTAGAATGGGGGTCACCTAAAAGAAGAATAATTCAAAGTAAATAAGTCAATTGCCTATACAAAAGTGCAATGAATATACTGGTACCATACATACTTTTAATCAGTCTGTAATAAAAGTTTGCAAACGGAGTGGACATACATGTAATTATAATTACGGTTTGTTTCCAATTGTCAAACACTAAACACATAAACCAAATAATAATTTCACCAATTGATACAAACAATGTGTGATGCTGCCACTTGTCTGTGATAACAATACTACACTCCTTCTTCCTAAAATCACAACTGGAAACAAATTTTGACACTCACCGGCCATATGACTTCTTTTAATGTATCATCCAACCGAATTGGGATGAGGTCAAACAACAGGGCACTCCAAATACTGGCAACAAGAAAAAAGACTGTGAGCCATTGGACTAGTTTGGTTGCCATGTTGTATGGTAGCTGAAAGAAAACAAATAGCATATAAAAATCAGGGCTCATCAGGATGCAAAAAAAAAGCTCTTTAGGATCGTGGGAGTTTGACATTCTACTCATAGATTACAGTTAACAGATGATGGAAAGGAAATTTCATCATGAAACAGTAATTTTTGATAAAATGCATGTTTTAGGGAATTTGAATTTGATACCCTCCTGTGAACTGCTTTGTCACAATCTCTATCCAGAAGAACACAATGTGCTCAGAGCTAGAGGGGAATACTTAAGTGATTTTTGTTCACTTCCATCCCATCTCAGCCCACTGCCATTAACACCCAAACCACCCAACCATTGATTAGAAATCATCAGATTTAGGTAAAACCCAATAAAGAATAAGAAAGATATGAATTTTCACACATTTTAACATCCCTACCCATTTTGAAAACTCATTTTGAAATCTAGACTTACTCTATTTTTTATTTTACACAAAATATTCCAATCCCAATTTTTTTTCCTGAAGAAAATCTCAACACCCCAAATACATAACTGTAAACATTTTTATTGTCCTCTCACTTCTCAGTGAAGTTTGATAAAATCTTAACACATTAACATGTAGCTATACTGTAAAAGCAATTTCATGCAGTTGTTGATTTTGAGAAATCTTCAAATGAAAAAATAGATTCCATCATGTTTTTCTAAAAATACAATCATTAATATCAACTTGATGTAGGGCCAGGGATGAACTTCTCCTTAACACAAATTTCTGAGATGATCCCAACTCAAAAGAACCAAACCATTCTCCCATCGAGTTGGAAAGATATCTCATATATCATAATTATGCCTTCTCTTTCATCTACACCCATAAAAACACTGGCACTATTCATGACTAATGATTCTTCAACATACAATCAAGCACGGACAGAATTCTTGAGGGGTGGCCTGAGGCCCTTTTTTTAGCCATTAGATTAAAAGGCTTTAATAAAAACAATTGTGCAGAACAAATAAGCGATTTGCAGACCTCTCTGTCGTTGAGTGTGACTTTCAATCATCACTCGTTCACTGACCGTGACCTGCCCCCCCCCCCAGGTCTCTCATTCAGTCTCACCTCTCTCTCTCTCTCTCTCTGCTTGAGGCAAGACTAGTTCTTATCTTATACATAATAACGCGTAAATATTCACTTCTGAATAATAAACGCCTATAAACCAAAACAACAACTAAGAGACGCCAAGTTCAAAGATCGGCAAAGCGTGACATTTTCATGATTCGGCAAGAGGGTACGTAGTATAGATCTAACACACGTATCTAGAATAGATCTAGACCTATAGCGTTTTTTCAAAATCTAGCGCGCACGTCGTGCGTAAGAGCTTTCAGACCCTCGAAATGCGTGATGTCACGCCTAATGCGTGATACTTGGTAGCTCTGAACAACAACATTTTATGAATTAATGAGAATTTTAAGCTGTCACCTCTATACAAACATGAAAACAAGCATGTGGGGCAACAAAGTAGGTCTAGAGTCACAGAAACAATTTCAGCACATAATTTTACTTTAATAGAAAAGACACACAGTTTATCATTTGATAATGCCAAGCCAAGTGGTACAACAGTGCATTCGTAATATGATATTTCGAAAACATGAAGTTTTCATAAACTGATAAACCGAACCTGTTGCTAAAAATTGCGCTGTAGTCGCCACGTCGTCACGGAAATAGAAAGGGAGCGTCTTGTATCGAGACTAGCGTTTGCTCCGAATGGGTAGCATATATGGTAGCGTACTAAGGTGCCAAGGTACCGGTATTGCGGCCTCATGAATAAACATGAGTATATGACGTCACGAACTCGCCACGCCTACCCTACCTCTTACCACATAGCGGGTGTATACCGCTACCGCTCGCGCCAATTACGAATGTGTACGTCGTTGTTTCCCCTCGAACGATCCGCTCATCAGCTAGCTAGCTAGCTCAGCACAGCTCGACTGTATCGCCGCGGACGAGGTAGAGTACCGGTAGGCTCTCCTAGCTACTCCCTCCTCCACCATGGAGACGGATAACTTCCCACCGTATGTTTTGACGAAAGAAGAAGGAGTGTCCATAAAGAAAAGATTTGAAATAAAGTCAGGGATAACCTACGTCCGTTCAAGTGACTATTCGCCCCCTGAATCCAAAGGTAAGATATAAGCATCTAGACCCCTAGTAATATTCTCCAATTGTGACTAGACTCTAACAAGTAACAGTTAGATGATCTAACAGTTAGACCCCCTAAGGCCCTATGCCTATATATTTCCGAACTAAATTAATAGATTAGACTCGAGATTTATTTACAACATACAAATCTAGATCTCGACTAACAGTTAGATCTAGCCTATCTTTAGTACTACTAGGCCTACTACTACTACTACCCTCCCTTTCGACCTCCGTACCTCTCCCTCAGTTGAAATTTTCAAGAAAAAACTAAAAACGTACCTCTTTAATAAGTAAATTGTAATTCTAATATTTTTGTTTGTTATTATAATTACTCTTTTATACATGTATTATCTTGTGTTTACTATGTCATTATTTCTGTAAAGCGCTTCGAGCAATTCGTTGGATGTTGCGCTATATAAAAGACAATTGTATGTATGTATGTATGTACTAGTAGGCGTAGTTGTATTACCTCAGTAGAGTACTACTGACTACTATAGTAGTAGATCTAGACTAGGTCTATATTATATTATTATATAGTCTATAGAATTTACACTAGGGTCGAGACCTAATTCGAGACACATCATCATGACATATCGATCCTCTGCATCATCTGATCATCATCTGATCATCATGTCCTCTTTTTCTTCTGACACTCTGATTAGACCATTATGTCGAGTCAATATTTATGTATACTCTAGGGGCCTATTTCAGCTGTCTCTGAACACAGATTTTGATGTAACAAAGATGATCTTGGCATTTAAATTGTATATTTTTTCAAATTCGACATTTCATTATCTCACAAACAAATATTATTTGTGTAGGCCTAGGCTAGATACTAAGGCCCTCTGCAACAAAACTCAACTTTCCCTTTCAGTAAACATATTAAAGGCGATGACACTTTTTGTGTGGAAAATGTACACAAATTTGTTTTGTCTATTAAGTTAGAGTCTACCCATTTTTTCAAAAAGGATTGAGTAGGTCTAGATCTACCAGAACATTTATGTTATTTGTGCAGGATAGAATATAGATCTAGGTCTAGGTGTTAGACCTATAATTCCACCCTTTTTAAAATTTGACATTTTTGTTGCCATATATTCAAATTATATTTACAGTTAGGGTCTATTTCAGTATATTTCTCACTTAATTGTCTCAGAAAATGTGTGTAGATCTAGACCTATCTAGAAGGTCTAGGCCTAATATATATTTTTTACAGATTTAGACCGAAAATGAGGAAAAAGAAATTTGTTGTTGAAATGGCAAGAGATAATTTGTTGCTGAAAATTAAACCAATGGAAATTATTATGATCATAAAATCTTCATGCTTAAGTTGTTTCAAAGGCAGAAATGAAGTACAGCCTACAGGGTCAGGGTGGGCTGGGCAAAAGCTACTATGTACGCTGACCTGTGACTGTCCATAATCATTGATAATGACCTTGATGTTCATGTGTGCCATTTATAATTACTATGTATTCATACATAGCAGAAGGTGCTAGCGGCTTCAGCTTACAACACCTGCATGCATGGGCACAAATTTCCTTCAAGATTCTATATGGTTCTATATTGTTTTATGCTGTAATAATTTGTATATTATGAAATAGTAACAATTAATTAAAACTAGAGGGTCTATGCAATACTAATTAAATCTAACAAGTGGTAAGTTGTAGGTCTTACCAATTGAGTTAGTTGCTCTTAACATAACGGAAGGTCAAACATTTTGTGCAATGTCACGCTGTTATGTCATGGAATTGTCCATTTACCATATTCTATTGTTGACAGGGCTAGGGGGGCTAGTCAAACTACACAGGTGTGAAAACCTCCTTTAAAACCAACCTAAACCCTAAACCTCTTTTCTGTGCTCTTTGGGGGTGCTAATTTAAACCCACACACACAAGTTTCAACTCTGTAACATATTCCTATAATTCCCCCTACCCAAGTAGAACTTTTGTTTCTGACATGTACCCTAAATGAATGCGTCATGCATGCACGTGTTCCTTCATACCGGTATACAGTGTATAACTGTATATGCCTATATTTCTGCAAAATTGCCTCTTTTCCCTATTTGTTGTTGCTGTTGCATTTGTGTACGTCTTTGACTGGCCCTTTCTTGGCCCTTGCGCCCATCAAGTAACAAAATAATAATAATGATTATAATAATAATTTCCTTGTCATAGTATTTTTGTTGTCATCAATATATTTTTTCCCTTTTCAGAGCATGGAGTGACTTACCATTTTGTAGACAAGCGAAAGGTAGTCTGCGACAATGAACACCCCTTTTCCATCATCCACACTGATGTATATGAATGTATGTATGGAAGGGAACGTCATGCTGCAAGGAAGGAGAGAATTGTAGCAGACAAGGAGAAACGCTTGCAAGTGAGTGATTTTTACATTGCCCATATGTGATCATGATCATTTATAGATTAGAAAATGTTTTAGCTATCATGCATTTTGGGTACGCGTGTTATACATTTGTTTCAGGCTATTAACATGTAACTGATCAGTTTTTGTAATTATGGTTTAGATAATATCTGAGGGTGTTAGGATAGATTTGAATGTTAACTTTTACCAAAGTCCAAGTGATGCAGTCTGTTACCCCCAATGATATCTGACTGTAATGTTGTGTCCAATGAAGGAGCAATGAAGGAGCAATGAAGGAGCATGACTTAAAAATAGCTAAGTAATTTTACTTTACTTTTACAAAGACTTAATATAGAATATAACAGACCTGCCAACCAGTACGATTTAGTCGTATTTAGTATGATTTTTAGAAGCAAATACGACAGTACGATTTTCCTCAATAAAATTTTTTTTTTTTTTTTTTTTTTTTTTAAATTTTAAATTTTTTTTTTTTAAATTTAAGTTTTGAATTGTGTATGTGCTATGCAAAATGCCCATTCTGTCCTGTAAAGTATCCTACAAGCATCTCACTTTGGAAATTTGGGGTTGTTCATTGGTTCATCGAACACGCTATACTAGTCATGACAAAATTATGCATATTCAACCAATGCCCATAGGAAAGTGAAAAGTATGCCGCAAACCTGCCGCAGACCTGCCGCAGATCTGCCGCAGACCTGCCGCAGACTTTTAGTCTGCGGCAAAGAGTATGCCGAAGTATGCGGCAGAAAGAAATTTTGCTGCAGACTTGCCGCATACCATTATGCCACAGGAACAGTCTGCGGCAGATCTGCGGCAGGATGAAATTTTGCTGCAGACTTGCCGCATACTAGTATGCCACAGGAACAGTCTGCGGCAGATCTGCGGCAGGATGAAACTTTGCTCCAGACTTGCCGCATACTAGTATGCCACAGGAACAATCTGCGGCAGATCTGCGGCAGGATGAAATTTTGCTGCAGACTTGCCGCATACTAGTATGCCACAGGAACAGTCTGCGGCAGATCTGCGGCAGGATGAAACTTTGCTCCAGACTTGCCGCATACTAGTATGCCACAGGAACAGTCTGCGGCAGATCTGCGGCAGGATGAAATTTTGCTGCAGACTTGCCGCATACTAGTATGCCACAGGAACAGTCTGCGGCAGATCTGCGGCAGGATGAAACTTTGCTCCAGACTTGCCGCATACTAGTATGCCACAGGAACAGTCTGCGGCAGATCTGCGGCAGGGCGAAACTTTGCTCCAGACTTGCCGCATACCAGTACGCCACAGGAACAGTCTGCGGCAGGTCTGCCACAGGAAATCCCATTAAAATCTAATAGGCCTATAGGGCCAATTGAAACCAATCATCTCATGCATATTCATTATTACTTTACACGTGTGACAGAAAAATACATTTATCATGATTTGTTAAGCAAATTAAGACAATGCACATCATTTTTGTGATTTCTATTTTCCTTTTGCCATTATTAACCAATAGATTATTTTGTCTGATCATGTTACAATTACATTCACGTTTAAGCAATAGATATATTGATTACTAACCAAGAAACTATGATTACTAACCAAGAAACAATATACATATTTAGTATATATATGTGTACGAGCCTGTGTCACTTTAAATGTTACTCTTGAATACACTTCAAATGATCAATGTGATGAAGTTAATACAATTGAGAATAGAATATACCTAATTGGTAATATCAACATACATATTGGTATTACCTAATTGGTAATATCAACATACATATTGGTATTACCTAATTGGTAATATCGATATTGCCAATATCGATAATGAAGTATCAATCAGTTTATCACTGGTTCTTCTACATGCATACTTTATTGCCACGTACTGGATATGAAAGAGTATGCGGCAGGTCTGCAGCAGGTCTATATGAGATATGAATATTCATGACAAAGAGTCTGCGGCAGGTCTGCAGCAAGTCTGCGGCAGACCTGCCGCAGACTCTTCATCATACTGAAAGAGTATGCAGCAGACTCTTCATCATACTGAAAGAGTATGCGGCAAGTCTGCAGCAAGTCTGCGGCAGACCTGCCGCAGACTCTTCATCATACTGAAAGAGTATGCGGCAAGTCTGCGGCAGATCTGCCGCAGACTCTTCATCATACTGAATAGTATGCGGCAGGTCTGCAGCAAGTCTGCGGCAGACCTGCCGCAGACTCTTCATCATACTGAAAGAGTATGCGGCAAGTCTGCGGCAGATCTGCCGCAGACTCTTCATCATACTGAATAGTATGCGGCAGGTCTGCAGCAAGTCTGCGGCAGACCTGCCGCAGACTCTTCATCATACTGAAAGAGTATGCGGCAAGTCTGCGGCAAGTCTGCGGCAGACCTGCCGCAGACTCTTCATCATACTGAAAGAGTATGCGGCAAAACTAATTTGCATGTGAAAAAGATGACTGTCTGCGGCAGGTCTGCTGCAGATCTGCGGCAAGTCTGCCGCAGGAGTATGCGGCAGACTCATTTCTTTCCTATGGGTGATCCACAAAAATTTTCTCCCTGTACGTAAGAGCTGTACAAAGCATTGATCCGCGTAACATTTTTAATATTTTTTTAAGAATACAACTTTTGTCAGTAAAATACAACTTTTGGGAATAAAGAATACAGTTTTTGAACTCCAGAGGTTGGCAGGTCTGATATAAGAGCAAATGTACTAATAATTAACACCTGATTCCTTACATCTTGATTCAAGATAAGGAATCGGGTGTTGCAAGGTACATGTTATGTACTGTATGAATCTGTGAAAATCATCTAAATTGTAAAATAAATTTTCAGTGTCCATTTTTGTTTCCAGGAAGATCATCCATTGCCGGTAAAGCGAGCATTTAAGAGATGCCAGGCATCTCGAAAGAAAGGCTGTCCTGCAAAGCTTATCCTGAAGGAGGTGGTTATGTATACTGACTACAAGGTAATATTAGCACATTAGATATCCTCATCAAAGGTGCCAATCTAACAATGTATGCTGTATATATTTGGTAAATTATGATCTATTTGGACCTGATAAATATCATGCACATGTCGCGCATGTGCCGCGTAGTCCCATATACATCTTTCTGTGTACAGTGCTTGTAATTTTACCAAGACTGGGCCAAAGATCTTATCATTTTGATGATTCCAGAACCTTGCAGTACACACCAATACTTGTATGCTAGATGATCAACCTTTTTTTTATCGATTCAATAACGTTTCTTTCACAATGCCGCAATCGCATGACCATAACTGGTCTTTATCTTTAAGGTTGTTTTTTAAGGTTTTGAGGGGACAAGCCTCAAATAAATTGTCTGATATTATAGAGTAAAATCACATCCATTCTCACATAACTTACAAAGTGCACAGGACAAGCTGCTTCTAGAATAACTTCACATTCAAAACAAGAATAAATCTGTGAGATGGTGCTTTCAATTGTGCAGCTCTAAAGATTTAGAATAACCTAACTTTAGACAAAGGTGATTAAAGCTCCATCTGTTGCTGTCTTGAAAGTTTTTATCAATGACCCCCTCATTTTTTCTCATTAATTTAAAATCAATTTAAGTTGTTTTTTAAGTAATAATAATATTGAGTTCTTGTACAGTGCGTCCCAGAAAAAACGAAACCGAGAATTAGCGATGTTTTATCACAACTATAATTGATAAATGACACATATTTGGAAAGCTTAGATCCTCCTCTTTCATTTGATTCAACTCGTATAATCCATATTTCACGCATGAGTGATTAAAATGAATTTGAAGAGAGGAAAACAAAAAGTCATTTGGCGGGCGGTATCTGAATTTCAAAGAGAAAATCACATTTCTAGAAAGTTGAGTTACTGCCCTTTCATATGACACCTCAGTCAGGAAAAATGAGCTAGGAATAACAAAGTTCTGCTTGTTTAAAGTAGTGCTTGCATTTCCATAATTTTATTAAACAAATTCATTTTCACTGGCTGTCTGCTGTAGCAGCAAACGTAATTAACAAAAGACTTAACTTCATTTCGTTGACAATCAGCCGTAGACGAAAGACTTCATACATGGCTGATTGTCAACGAAACAGAGTTAAGTCTTTTGTCAATTCTGCTTGTTGCTACGGCAGGGAGCCAGTGAAAACGAATTTGTTTATATATTGTAAACTCAGGTCATGATATGAGAATAGCATTTCTTCACGTTTGCTTTCTTTTTAGCTTGATGACGCCATGTCTGCTTGGAAACAGAGGCTCATCGGCAGGGAGCTAAGGGCAGCCCTGGACTCGAAAGCCAACCTCAACAAAGAAGTTAGGGTTTATGTGAAATACCCTATGGATGAAGATCATCACTCTGTACATGCAGTAGGACAGGTAAAGATTAAATGTGTTTTGATATTGTGTTTTGATTCTTGTACATGTAACCCTTCTACCCCCACCCTTGACCCCTCCCCCCCCCCCCCCCCCACTTACTTTCAACAAGACAGACACATGCTGTACGATAGGAACATTTTAACCCAAATAAAAATGAAAAATACTGTTTAAAAAAAAGAGTAGTGCATAAGAAAGTTAAGATTTAATGATGATTAAATAGATCAATGTAAAAAGTGGATAATTTTCCAACAGGAGTTGCGAGTTCAGAATTTCCTCGCAGAATACATGAATTTGAAAGATTTCAATTTTTCAAGACATCAATATATGTTGATGTTCTATTCATTTGCAAGTTATTTTTTGTAATGAATCAATGCTATTGTGTGTTGTTGTGGTTATCATGTGAGAGTATCTTGCATCCTATCCTATTTTCCCACCATCTTATCACCACCTAATCCATCCAATCTCCAATCCCACTGATAATACCACCTTGCACATTCCATAGCCAGGTGCCAGATATCCCATACAGGCATAAAGTGAATAATATTTTGTTGATATCCTGACCTGTCCTTACCAGTGATATATAACATATATATATATATATATTGATGCACAATAAAGCACTGGCATCTACCGGTAGTCTGCATGACTCTCAAACCAAGGATTCTGTCGCTCCTGAGTATTCATTATACTTAAAAATGTCTATGTTAATCAGCTAGATTGAATATTTTCAATGATTCATACAAATGTTGATAGAAATTATTCCTGAATATATTGGTATCCAAAATATATTGATATCAATTAACTCCTGCATATATCATTTATTGTTAAAACTAGTTTGATTTTTTCTTCTTTGCTTTTAATGATGTATCTTCCAATTAAGTTGAATTTCTAAAAAGGGGAGGGATATGTTCATGAGGTAATATCATGTGAGAGTATCTTGCATCCTATCCCATTTTCCCACCATCTTATCACCACCTAATCCATCCAATCTCCAATCCCACTGATAATACCACCTTGCACATTCCATAGCCAGGTGCCAGATATCCCATACAGGCATAAAGTGAATAATATTTTGTTGATATCCTGACCTGTCCTTACCAGTGATGATGCACAATAAAGCACTGGCATCTAGTCTGACTCTCAAACTTAGGATTCTCTCGCTCCTGAAAATTTATAATACAAAAAAATGTCTATGTTAATCATCTAGATTGAATATATGTTTCAATGATTCATACAAGTGTTGATAGAAATTATTCCTGAATATATTGGTATCCAAAATATATTGCAATCAATTAACTCCTGCATATATCATTTATTAGTATTAAACTGGTTTGAATTTGTCTTCTTTGCTTTTACTATATAAGAAGACCTGTTCTCATGATGTATCTTCCAATTAAGTTGAATTTCTAAAAAGGGGAGGGATATGTTCATGAGGTAATATCATGTGAGAGTATCTTGCATCCTATCCTATTTTCCCACCATCTTATCACCACCTAATCCATCCAATCTCCAATCCCACTGATAATACCACCTTGCACATTCCATAGCCAGGTGCCAGATATCCCATACAGGCATAAAGTGAATAATATTTTGTTGATATCCTGACCTGTCCTTACCAGTGATATATAACATATATATATATATATATTGATGCACAATAAAGCACTGGCATCTACCGGTAGTCTGCATGACTCTCAAACCAAGGATTCTCTCACTCCTGAGTATTTATAATACTTAAAAATGTCTATGTTAATCAGCTAGATTGAATATTTTCAATGATTCATACAAATGTTGATAGAAATTATTCCTGATTATATTGGTATCCAAAATATATTGATATCAATTAACTCCTGCATATATCATTCATTGTTAAAACTGGTTTGAATTTTTCTTCTTTGCTTTAAGAAGACCTGTTCTCATGATGTATCTTCCAATTAAGTTGAATTTCTAAAAAGGGGAGGGATATGTTCATGAGGTAATATCATGTGAGAGTATCTTGCATCCTATCCTATTTTCCCACCATCTTATCACCACCTAATCCATCCAATCTCCAATCCCACTGATAATACCACCTTGCACATTCCATAGCCAGGTGCCAGATATCCCATACAGGCATAAAGTGAAGAATATTTTGTTGATATCCTGACCTGTCCTTACCAGTGATATATAACATATATATATATATATATTGATGCACAATAAAGCACTGGCATCTAGTCTGACTCTCAAACCAAGGATTCTCTCGCTCCTGAAAATTTATAATACAAAAAAATGTCTATGTTAATCATCTAGATTGAATATATGTTTCAATGATTCATACAAGTGTTGATAGAAATTATTCCTGAATATATTGGTATCCAAAATATATTGCAATCAATTAACTCCTGCATATATCATTTATTAGTATTAAACTGGTTTGAATTTGTCTTCTTTGCTTTTACTATATAAGAAGACCTGTTCTCATGATGTATCTTCCAATTAAGTTGAATTTCTAAAAAGGGGAGGGATATGTTCATGAGGTAATATCATGTGAGAGTATCTTGCATCCTATCCTATTTTCCCACCATCTTATCACCACCTAATCCATCCAATCTCCAATCCCACTGATAATACCACCTTGCACATTCCATAGCCAGGTGCCAGATATCCCATACAGGCATAAAGTGAAGAATATTTTGTTGATATCCTGACCTGTCCTTACCAGTGATATATAATATATATATATATATATATATATATATATATATATATTGATACAGAATAATCTAGTCTGACTCATAAACCAAGGATTCTGTTGATCCTGAGTAGTAATTATGATACACTAAATATGCATCTGGAGACAATGGTTTTACAGTGAATTGTGTGACTTACATATCGAATACATTCTAAGCTTTAACAATTATTTAAACGAGAATTGAAGAAAGATAAGCTTATATTCCCCCACATCATTCTGTACATATTTTATATTTGCAAGTTGTTCTTACAGGTAGATAATTTACCCTTTTTCATTTTGAAGCTAACAGGACTACTGAGACCCATATCAAAAGAGATCTCTGGGAAGATCAGTCAGCTGGTTGGGATTGGAGTTTGCCGAGTTCAAGAAATGCGAAGGCATCTCCGCCATTTCCTTGAGCAGGAGCTATTCCCTAATCCTTCCAGCCGGCCTCCCCAGACTGATGCAAGTTACTTTCCTAGTGATCATGGCATTGCACAACAGATATGTTATGCCAAGATGCAAATGAGGTAGGTTATGATTTTGTTTCCCCCTTTGTTCTGTGTGTACTGTGTATCAATTATGACCCAGATGATTGTCAAGCAATGTTTTTCCTTTTTATAATTCACCTCAATAATATTTTTAAAGCTCATCTGAGTTAAAGGCCTGACTACTCAAGTGAGCTATTACTGTCTGTTCGGCAGCCATATAACTTTTCAACATTATAATCTTTAAAATGCATAGTTTGAATTCCATTGAACCACAAATTACATACAAATGTACAGTAGGTTTACGGTTGCACCATGTGAGATTGAGGGGGGAGGATTGGGGAATCCTGAAAAGGACTGTCTGTAATTTTTCTTTCTTGATTGTTACATAAAAGTGGTAAAGAGTTATTTACTTAAATGTGAATTAATGTGAGGTTAATTATGTCTTCAATTTTAGCTGTTGTAAGGCACGTCTGTTGGATTTCTAGAAATCCATTCCAATTGATACATTTAAGAACGGTTATTGATAGTGTTTGAAGTATTGCCAAATGCCTATCTTTTTGTTATATCTTTAGCTATCAGGATTTTTAGAATGGTAAGTGATTAATGGTGAGTAACATTAGCATGATACTGGATGAAAAAGGAAAATGGCTGCTCTTTCTCCTCTACTTGGCAAAAAATAACAATTGAAATTAGAATAATAACAAATAAACAAATGCTTGTAGAGCTATTTGCATTGTCAAAATATTTGCTTAAAAAGCTTTAGATGCATAATACTTTGTCAAATAAGATGCCATACACGTGACCAAAAATTTGTACAGCTTCTAATATATATTATTTGCTTATAGCCATTATAATGCTTCATGCTATGTGGATTATGTTTCTCTCGCTTCTCTCTTTCTCTCTCTTTCTCTCTCTCTCTTTCTCTGTCCCTCCCCCTCTCTCTGTTATTCTTTGATATTTCTTAAACATTGATAAACATATATTTTTTTTTTCTGCACTCTTTGTATCCAACCTTGATGTGATATGTTCTTTTGAGGAAGAACCATTGACTTTTTTTTAAAGGATCCAAAGCAATATAGATGTACCGGTAGTCTATTGCTCATTGACACCAAATATAACCACTGATCGTGATCGAATGTGTCAAAACATAGAAGCATTGACCTACTACAAATGAACATTCATGTTCGGTCTCTGTCAAAAGTATCACAGCAACATTTTTAGATAACTCTACATTTCCATGCTTTAATGTAATCATGACCACAACCAGTTAGCCAAAATGTTCCAAATAAACTTACCCAAACTTAGTTTCTATCACTCTCATGGATCAAGTTCTGGACTAGCACACATTTTGACCATCCAACTGGTACAACCCATGGCCATCGATTCAAGATTGCTTTTAAAGAAGCAAGTCTACTCAAAGCTTAGAGACATGGCTTCTTTTCTCAGAGGTTTCAACGAATGGAACAATCTCTTTGGATAGTACATGTACATCTCTTAAGAGCTATAAATTAAATTTTTACGAAATTTTGGTTGCAAGAAAAGATCAATTTGACCCGGAGAGTCCTTCGCTTGTCCATGTTCATCAACTGCTGTACAGCGCTACTAAACATATGTCCCAATATGGATTCTTCATCCTGTTGTCAATGAGAGGCAAATCGGTTTTTAACTCTAAATGCCTACTTCCATGGTGTCGTATTAGATAATATCACAAATGTTTTACATAAGAACAGCAGAATTGTTGGCTTGATAAATAAGCTAAAATATAGTTTGTTACCCGAAGATTTGATAACTTTATATCATTCCATTATTTTCCCTTATTTGAAATATTGTAATATTGTATGGGCTACCAATGCAGCACAAACTGAATTAGACTCACTATTTAAAGTTCAAAAGAAATGTTTAAGAATAGCTACCATTTCTCATTGTCCAGCACCATCTGCAGTTCTGCACCTTCATTTAAGAAGCTATCTTTATTAAATATATATGATATAAATGAGGAAGAAATCGCAACGTTCATGTACAAATATAAAAACAAGTTGTTACCTGGCCCCTTTTCAGACCTTATTCAATATAATAGTCAAATTCATAATTATAGCACACGATTTTCCAACAAATTTCATTTATGGTCTGTTAAGTCTAGATATGGAGCTAAATCAATGAGTTATCTAGGTCCTAAACAGTGAAATTTAATTCCCCAAGTAATATCGAAATCACAATTCATATCTTCCTTTAGAAAACAATAAAAAATCTTACTACTAAATAATTATTATTCAGCACAGTTGTTTTTTTATATTTTTGTATCTGAACCACCTTTCATTGATGTTTTGTTTAGTTTTCCTTTTATTTCTACCTTTATATATATTTTTCCTTCTCTCGATTTCACTTTCTCTTGTGTTATAGAATATAGATAGTTGAAGTGTTTGTACTTTGCTTATTCTACTTAATTTATTGTTGTGTGCTTATATTTTTTTGTTGTTTTGTTTTTCATTCTATAATGGGTGATCCAACTTCACAGGTTTTCGCAACCTTCGTGGAAAGCCCCGCATTAACCTGTGTAAACATAGTTAAAATTTACCGTTACTTTGTATATTTTGATTTATATAGTGCGAAATAAAATTGAATTGAATTGAATTGAAGGTATAAGTTATAATAACAAAGTTCACTGTATCATTTGCCCAAACTCATCTGTGAACATCGATTTTTGTTGTTATGGGTATTTTCATATCACACTGACTGTGTATAGAGCTGGTTTTGTGTTTTTATTTTCTGACAGTTCTCTACTTTTGTTATTCACATGTTAAAGGTATACATAGACCAGTTTTATCAATGCCCCCCTCTCAAAAAATGAAATGGAAGCTCTTATTACCAGTCATGTGAAAGAATATGTTGACTAATATGTGATGATACAAACTTACCGGGAAACCGCCTACTAATTATCTATCCGACCTGGATAGATATCGCGTAGTCCGATATGAATCTTTCTGTGTACAGCGCTTGTATCTTTACCAAGACTGGGCCAAAATTCTTATCATTTTGATGATTCCAGAATCTTGCAGTACATACCAATATGCTAGATGATAAACCTTTTCTGGTCGTTTCCACAACGTTTCTTTCACAATGCCAGTGCATGACCAGAATAGGGTTTTACCTTCGATAGATTATAGATTTGGAAAGATAGAAAACCACAACTATGAATAGTGGCCCAATCTAAACATGGAAAAGAAGATCGAAACTAGTCGAAACCAAAAATAAACAGTGAACAAGGCTTCCATGAAATTGACTTCCTCAATCAAGTCAAATTTTGATGGGGCCCTCCATGTTTTCTCCAATAATTCTTCTAATAATGAAATTTTGAGAATATAGCCCAAATATTTATCAAATTTCCAGAAAAAACAATATTATATACATACCGATGTTGCTTTTGATGTACTGTTATTGCTCTACTTCACATTAACCTTTTTTTTCTTTTTCTTTTTTTTTCTTTTGGTGAGGGGTTGTGAAAATTTACATTTTTATATGTGCATATATCCCTGGTCACATTTGTATTCATTACATCCTGTAATTTAGGAATTTGTATCACATGTATTTATATTGTTTTTGATGTGCAAATATTGGCTTTAATTTTTCTCTCTTTTTTCTTTTCACATATACAGTGGGTGTGTGTGTGTGTGTGTGTGAAAAATAATTTGTTTATGTGTGTGATGTATTACTGGTCACATTTGGAATCTTTACATTCTGCAGTGGAGTTATTTGTATCTTTCACAGTCCAGGCTTCTTGAGGTATTACTATCATAACATTTTGATGGCAACATACATGTACATGTTTTAGAATTTAGATGGTCCACTTAACATTTACTGGTACTAGGATATTTCTTTAACTTTTATCTTTGCTGCTAATGTTGATTATTGGGACCACTATGGTCAAAGTCAGTGTATGCAAATGGTCTACTCTGCTGGCCCTTGTGTGTGTAGGAAGTGACGTGGGGAAGGGGGTTTTGGTGGTATAAGTTTATGTGAGGGCATGGAGAAAGAAAATTACTTAGAACAAGGGTCACTCGAAGATCGTATATTGTGTACTGAAGGATTTTTTTTTTTCATACTGATTGTCTGTATACTCATGTACCCTTTTCCCTGATACATTTATTATACTTACATGTATATGACTTGTGTATTTCTTGATACAAGTGAATCTAAATTTATCTAATACTTGAAATGGTCTAGTATTTTCACCCTTCCCTTTTTTTTTAAAGATAGAATAAACTTGATTATGGGAACTGATTTAGTTTGTAAAGTATTATTAACAGTTCCTCAATTTCTCACCTCATCAGACATTCAAAGATTGATCAACAGAACCTGGATCTCCAAGTCAAAGAGTGGGAACGCCAAAATCCTAATGACAGGTTCAGCCTGCGCTTGCCATCAGAGCCTAAAACAGAAAGGAGTTTTGAGGTGGAGGATGATGAGATCCTTCCTTCCTCCCTGCCCGATGACTTCTTCTTTTGCTACCAAACAGAATTCCAAAGACATCTGCTCTCAAGGTATCAAATTTTCTTGCCTGGAAACAACAGAAAGCAACAGAATCCTTGATATATTCTCCCTCTTAAATATTGAACTTTAAGAAAACTATTTCCACCCTAAAAAAAGACTCTTAAAGGTAAAGATCCGTTTTGGAAACGTGCCCTCTCAAAAAATGAAATGGAAGCTCTTACCAATCATTTGAAAGAATATGCTTTGACTAATACGGATGATACAAATTTTGCCGGGAAACCGCCTACTTATTGATAAATTTGGTAACTTATTTTATCTATTTGGACCTGATAGATATCGCGCATGTGTCACGCACGTGTCCCATATACATCTTTCTGTGTACAGTGCTTGTAACTTTACCATGACTGGGCCAAATTTCTTATCATTTTGATGATTACAGAACCTTACAGTACATACCAATTCTATTATGCTAGATGATCAACCTTTTCTGATCGATTCAAAAACGTTTCTTTCACAATGCCAGCGCATGACCAGAACTGATCTTTACCTTCAAAGTTTAGCAAGACTCTTAACAATACACAAAAATCTGATGCAAGATCCAATAGCTGTTTTTAAAATTATTTCTTGTTTATGATGTAGTGGGCATCTCTTGAGACAAAATTTGCAAACACCAAATGTTCCATGAAAAATTTATGTAACGTTGTTTCTCTACATGCACAGGGTTCAAACATATATTGCTCATTGTGATTTGTGTAGATACCCTTTGGAAAATGTGCCCCTCCCCCTGCCCCCCCCCCCCCTCAAAAAAAATAAATTACAATTATGAAAGAGTTTTATTAGGGTAGTTGTAATAATTATTTTAAAGTTCTTGTATCACATCCAAAATGAAAGTTTACCTGTAACAGTTTTGAAGAAGATGTCTGAACTCAAGACATCAAAACTTTTACACGTAAATTTTCCTTTTGGAAGTGATACAGGGGCAGATCCATGATTTTCCAAAGGAGGGGGCGTGAAATGTACTAAATTGCAAGCGTGAAGCCTTAACGGCATGGGGTCCGGCAGGCCCGAGAATATTTTGTTGCATGGCAAATACTGGTCAATACCATCCACAACATCTTGTGGACAACTGCACGTAAACGAATCATGGACTTGATTAATGGTCAGCGCGCTAGCGTTCGCATAACAGACCACAAATTTGTCCTCACACTTGGGTTTTGTGTATGTTGCACGCATGTGAATACTGCGGTCGAGTCGTCCATAGTCGTATTAGACCCAATTGGCCCAGAGTCAGGCCACAGGAAAGACACGTAGTCTCCTCTTTTTATGCTACACCCCCTTTACGATGCTCTTTAGTACATTCTGAGGCATTTGTGAATGCCTAAACTAAACATTTATGTGAATATGTTTTAGCCTTTTCCAGTTATATTTTTTCGGAAGGAAAAAAAGGGGGGGCGTGTTTCCACCACCCTCCCCCTGGATCCGCCTCTGTGGTACAAGAACTTTCAAATAAAAAGTTACAATTTGTTTATTTTCTCTTTTACTCATTTCTTATTATTTATTTGGTGCTAACATTAAGACATTAGTAAGAAATCCATCTTAAAATAGAAAACAAAAAAGAGAGAAAACAAGAAAAGGAAAAATACATTGTTGTATTCAAAAACCAAGTAAATGAATAAAGAAATTACCAAAAAATGTAATACATTATAAGAGTTGCACTTTTGAGTATTTGTACATGTCATTCATGGTTTTAAGAATCTTTATTCCATTGTTTGGTAATTTTTTGATTGAAAATAGGGTTGCACTTCATTTAGATAAGACACATATAGTCTTCTAAGACCACAATAATTATGGTCATGAAAATTCAGACAGAAACTAATTTTTTAAATTTTGTTTCCTATTATTCACAATGTTATATCATCTTGCTTGCAGGTATGGCAACGATATGTGCTTCCTAGATGCAACATATAAGACATCAAAGTACGCCCTACCGTTGTTTTTTCTGGCTGTCAAAACAAATGTGGGATACAGCGTTGCCGGTCTCTTCATTGTACAGACGGAAACAAAAGAGGCAATACAACATGGATTGGCAACACTGAAGGGATGGATGGAAGAGGCCAATCTGGCATGGATGCCTTCTACATTCATGACAGATTTCTGTGAGAGGGAGATATCTGCAATTGAGGAGATATTCCCAGGTAACAATTGTGAAAGAGGCAAATCTTATAGTTACACAAAGTCATGCAAGGTCATCTTAATTAGGCAAATGAGCGTCGAAGTTTACATCTGTAATTATTGTGACTATGTGAAGGTGAAGATGACGTTAAGACAAACAAACTTTTACATTTTCATCTTCATTTTCTTCTCCTGGGAGATTCCAACCAAACTTGGTTGGTACATCCTTTGGGCGAGGGAATCAAAAAGGTGTTAAAATGGTTCACGTTATCCCTCATGGTGGCCAAGGGGATTTAATTTAAAACATCTTTTTCCGAACCTGAAGTACGACAGTCAAGTTATATTGTATTTAGATATTTGAATTGATTTGAATTGAATTTATTGACCATATATGCATATAAAAGCAAAACATACAATAGAAAATAGAATACATAAAACATACAAATACAAAGCAAATATATGATCAGGACCACAAAGAAGCAAATTGCTTATAAATAGGGCCCCTGTCTCTACCTCTTGTTGACTAAATGCAACCTAATCTTTCCTACCATATTTTGTTTATGTTGTTCAGTGATTGAAATCATTCAGATATCCTGTTTACAGAAATAAATTGCATTGGTAAAAGATTGTAATTTTGTTTTGAATTACTTTTTTGAATAGCCACAAAACTGTTCCTATGTGATTTCCACCGAGAACAATCTTGGACAAGGTGGATGAAGAAAGTGGAAAACGGAGTAGGTTTGTCAAGGGAGGCTGTCCTGACTTTGATGAGAAACTGTGCCAGAGCCAAAAATGAGGAAGAACTAGCAATGGCTGTTGCCAAGCTGAAGACATGTCATCTATGGTTGAGCAACCAAAAGTTCCAGCGATGGATGAGCAAGACATGGCTGCCCCAAGTGAAGGTACTTATAATACCCAAAATGTATGTTATGCCTAATCATCAATGAGTGAGAAAGTAGAAAAATGGTGCATTTTAGTCAAACAAACCCTTTGAATGATTGTTGGGGGGGGGGGGCAGCAACAAATAGTGGAATAGGCTTTGCTCTATGTCCATGATTGCATGAATTTTTCTTTGGGCAAAAACTACATCTCTTTTATTCCTCTATATACTTTTTCATATTTTTTTCTTTTAGCGTTGGTCATGGGCATACAGGATCGAGGAAGGGTTCAAGGCCCATACTAACAATGGCTTAGAAAGACAAAATCGTGTCTTAAAACAGAACTATCTGCGCGATAAAGCTGATACTTCACTCTCTGGCTTAGCATCTTCTCTAATCAATGACTACCTGCCCAATCGAATGAGACAGTAAGTTTACTTTCATTTATTTATTATTTGATTTTTAAAAAGAGGAAGAGGGAATTATGCAGTGTGCATCTTCTTGATCATTGTATACATATAGTATTGGGCCAGACTTAAATGTCACTCCTCACATTTGTGCATGAAATGGAAAATTACGCCAACCAATTATTTTTCAGCAATTCTTGTTATTGGGCATATTTTCTTCTAAATTTGTAAGTAGCAATGGAATAACCTATTGATGAAGTTTTGGTTTGGTTTCATGTTCACTATGCTTTGGAATGAGGGAAGCTGGTGCACAATTTTATTCCAAGTGCTCCAAAGCATGTATTTTTTTTAAAAACTATTTTTTTCTTCCAAAACATAAAAATATTGTACTCTAGACATCCTACCCCTGCCCCCTTATTACTTTTTATGCCCCTTTATTAGACTCTATTCCTCCTCTTACCATCTCCTTGGGACCCTGACAATTTGTTAAATATTTATTTTGATATATCAGATTAGCAAAAATGATAATATAAAAAGAAAACTTTACTGGGGGAGTCTGTAAAATGTGTTAATTCATTATCCTTTATCATGAGAATCCACTGTAGTATTGGATTTTATTAGCAATTAAGACACAATTTTGCAATTGCCCTGATACCATAATCCTATTGTATTTGTAATGTTCCTTATGCATATTTAGGTACGTCACAGCCAATGTAAAGTTCGATGCTGCATATGGACGTAGCTACGATCCAAACATCCCGGATTTCCTGTGTGGCAGACCCCGAACATTTGTCCGCCATTGCATAGACCGTATGTCATCAGCAGAACTGCTGTCAGCTAACCACATACATAAGTTGGATGGCAACACCTTCCTAGTAAGAAACAGCTCATAATACTAAATTATCTTGACACCAAACTTTGTATTTAGATTTTGCAAATTCATTGTTCTGTAACCTTCCAAAAAAAGATATCACAAAACTGCAACGACTTCAAAATTCTGCAGCCCGCCTATTAACATTCACTAAGAAATCTGATTCCATATCACCAATTCTCCGTTCTCTCCATTGGTTGCCAGTTGAAAAAAGGATTATTTTTAAAATTATGTTACTTGTACATCATTCAGTTTACTCTCTTTCTTCCCCTGCATACCTGAGCAACTCTGTTTCAAAATACAACCCCACACGAAGTCTTCGTTCCTCATCAGACACACTATTACTTAATACACCCAGAATAAAACATGCTTGGGGGGAACGGGCTTTCTCAGCCATGGGTCCAAAACTGTGGAATAAGCTCCCTCTAAAATTACGTCAACTGTCATCGACAGAAACATTCAAATTACAACTAAAAACCTATTTGTTTCTTTCGTTGTAATTATTGCAATATTTTAATTTACTATGTCTAGGAGAATTCCGAATTTGTTTTTCGGTTTATTGTTTTTTCTTTCTTATGCCTGTTACATGTACTCTTCTCTAAGCGCCATGAGCACCGAAAGGTGGACCTGTGCGCTATACAAGTAGCCACTATTATTATTATTATTATTATTATTTACACAAAATATACATGAGGTGGTAGTAGTTGATACTTAATTGTCATCATTTGGAGTTTGGTGGTCAAAAGTGTTTGCTTTAAATAACAATAAAGAAAACCTAGAGGGCTTTAATTTTTACATATATGGATGTTAATTATTGTTAACTCGCAGGATTCAATAAACTCCTTTTATTTCTTGACTCAGAGAGTGATCCCCCCCCCCTTCTCTGTGTGAGAAATTTGACTATTTAGGGTATAGTTTAATTTCCCCTGTGTACTTTATCAACAGGTCAAGAGTGAAAGCTTCTCGGGATCCAGAGCCTACAAGGCTTGCTTTGGTGACCAGGCATGTTTGGCGACTTGTGAATGCCCTGACTGGCGACACCTGCAGTATCCATGCAAGCACATGTTTGCAGTAATGGCAAATGTGGATGGATACTGTTGGGATAGCCTGCCAGTGAAATTCAGGGAGTCGCCATTCATCAGCCTGGATAAAGAGGTTGGCAAGTTCGTCACCAACTCTGAAGCTGACATGGAAACCATGGATGACGCACAAGCCTTGGAGGAAGAGCCAGCAGACCACTGGATCCCTCTACCCACTAGGAAGAGTGCCCTAAGACAGGTTGGCATTGCTTGCAGGGAGAAGCTGAACCTAATCAGGGATGCCACCTACCTGTGTGGGGATGAGGAGGTGCTGATGGGTCTGCTGAGGGAGCTTGAGGCAACCCTTGGCTTCATGAGGAGCAAACTACCAACTGAAGATGGGTTGCCTCTGTATTCAGACCTTCCTCATCGGAAACGGAAAAGTCAAAAGCTCACAGGTATTTCAGTTTGTGCATTCATTTCTAGGCATACAAACAAAAAAAACTTTAATCATTTCTGTATAGTTATTTATATTTTATTTGTTTAATTATTTATATATCTATTTATATATGTATCTATTTATTCATATTTTTATAGACCTTATTGGTATTAATACCAAAGCTAGGGCCATCCTAAAGTATAACAAATACAAATTCAATATCTTGTCAGTTGTGTCATTCTCTGGAATTATGCTATCTCTGAACAAGGTTTGCATAAAATCATATTATGCTGGTGAGATTACCGCATCTGCAATTATAAATTGCAGAATTTAGCTGTGTACCTGTGGTGGTTGTCACTTGCTGCCATATTACATTTTGATAGAAGTGCCATTGATTAACGTCAAGCATCAAATGAAAGGGGGAAGAAAATCATTAACCAAAATTGAAGATATGCTTAATTTTTTGTTCAAACCTACTTCATTCTTACCTAGCCTCAACATCTAGTACAGGAGAAACAATGATAAAGAAAAAACCTGCAGTGCAGACCCAAAGAAGAAAATGAAGAAGAAAAAAAACATACAAGTTATATTGTGAAAAATGTTTGAAACAGTTTGAAATATTCAGCCAAGTCATTGATTTGTTTCACTCTTTTACGTAAAGCCTCAACATCAAGATGTACTTCAGAGGGAAAGAAGACGCCAGAAGAAAAAGGAAAGAAGAAACAGAAGACTTGTGGAGCAAGTCAGAAAAGGATGAATGACGAAGAAGGAGAAGAGAAGCAAACAGACATGAAGAAGAAAGAAGAAAATGATGCAAATCATGGTAAATATTTTCTCCAATCCTCAAATAAATTACCTTTAACACTGCAGAGCTTATTCTGATGTTAGAACAGCAATTGTTGTAAAGTTATTGTTTTCTTTGTTCTTATTGTCCGTTTTGATCATTATCTGTATGTACTTTTCAAAAGCAATAAGAAGAAGAAAAAAACACCAAAAACATACAAGTTATATTGTGAAAAATGTTTGAAATAGTTTGAAATATTCAGCCAAGTCATTGATTTGTTTCACTCTTTTACGTAAAGCCTCAACATCAAGATCTACTTCAGAGGGAAAGAAGACGACAGAAGAAAAAGGAAAGAAGAAACAGAAGACTTGTGGAGCAAGTCAGAAAAGGATGAATGACGAAGAAGGAGAAGAGAAGCAAACAGACATGAAGAAGAAAGAAGAAAATGATGCAAATCATGGTAAATATTTTCTCCAATCCTCAAATTAAATACCTTTAACACTGCAGAGCTTATTTTGATGTTAGAACAGCAATTGTTGTAAAGTTATTGTTTTCTTTGTTCTTGTTGTCTGTTTTGATCATTATCAGTATGTACTTTTAAAAAGCAATAAAAAGAAGAAGAAAAAAAACATACAAGTTATATTGTGAAAAATGTTTGAAATAGTTTGAAATATTCAGCCAAGTCATTGATTTGTTTCACTCTTTTACGTAAAGCCTCAACATCAAGATCTACTTCAGAGGGAAAGAAGACGACAGAAGAAAAAGGAAAGAAGAAACAGAAGACTTGTGGAGCAAGTCAGAAAAGGATGAATGACGAAAAAGGAGAAGAGAAGCAAACAGACATGAAGAAGAAAGAAGAAAATGATGCAAATCATGGTAAATATTTTTTCCAATCCTCAAATTAATTACCTTTAACACTGCAGAGCTTATTCTGATGTTAGAACAGCAATTGTTGTAAAGTTATTGTTTTCTTTGTTCTTGTTGTCTGTTTTGATCATTATCAGTATGTACTTTTAAAAAGCAATAAAAAGAAGAAGAAAAAAAACATACAAGTTATATTGTGAAAAATGTTTGAAACAGTTTGAAATATTCAGCCAAGTCATTGATTTGTTTCACTCTTTTACGTAAAGCCTCAACATCAAGATGTACTTCAGAGGGAAAGAAGACGACAGAAGAAAAAGGAAAGAAGAAACAGAAGACTTGTGGAGCAAGTCAGAAAAGGATGAATGACGAAGAAGGAGAAGAGAAGCAAACAGACATGAAGAAGAACGAAGAAAATGATGCAAATCATGGTAAATATTTTTTCCAATCCTCAAATTAATTACCTTTAACACTGCAGAGCTTATTCTGATGTTAGAACAGCAATTGTTGTAAAGTTATTGTTTTCTTTGTTCTTATTGTCCGTTTTGATCATTATCTGTATGTACTTTTAAAAAGCAATAAAAAGAAGAAGAAAAAAAACATACAAGTTATATTGTGAAAAATGTTTGAAATAGTTTGAAATATTCAGCCAAGTCATTGATTTGTTTCACTCTTTTACGTAAAGCCTCAACATCAAGATCTACTTCAGAGGGAAAGAAGACGACAGAAGAAAAAGGAAAGAAGAAACAGAAGACTTGTGGAGCAAGTCAGAAAAGGATGAATGACGAAGAAGGAGAAGAGAAGCAAACAGACATGAAGAAGAAAGAAGAAAATGATGCAAATCATGGTAAATATTTTTTCCAATCCTCAAATTAATTACCTTTAACACTGCACAGCTTATTCTGATGTTAAAACAGCAATTGTTGTAAAGTTATTGTTTTCTTTGTTCTTGTTGTCTGTTTTGATCATTATCAGTATGTACTTTTAAAAAGCAATAAAAAGAAGAAGAAAAAAAACATACAAGTTATATTGTGAAAAATGTTTGAAACAGTTTGAAATATTCAGCCAAGTCATTGATTTGTTTCACTCTTTTACGTAAAGCCTCAACATCAAGATCTACTTCAGAGGGAAAGAAGACGACAGTGGGAAAAGGACAGAAGAAACAGAAGACTCTCTCTCACTTTCTCACTAAGAATAGGATGACTGCTGGAGAAGAGAAGCAAACAGACATGAAGAAGAAAGAAGAAAATGATGCAAATCATGGTAAATATTTTCTCCAATCCTCAAATTAAATACCTTTAACACTGCAGAGCTTATTTTGATGTTAGAACAGCAATTGTTGTAAAGTTATTGTTTTCTTTGTTCTTATTGTCCGTTTTGATCATTATCAGTATGTACTTTTAAAAAGCAATAAAAAGAAGAAGAAAAAAAAACACAAAAAACATACAAGTTATATTGTGAAAAATGTTTGAAACAGTTTGAAATATTCAGCCAAGTCATTGATTTGTTTCACTCTTTTATGTAAAGCCTCAACATCAAGATCTACTTCAGAGGGAAAGAAGACGACAGAAGAAAAAGGAAAGAAGAAACAGAAGACTTGTGGAGCAAGTCAGAAAAGGATGAATGACGGAGAACGAGAAGAAAAGAAAACAGACAGGACAGAAGCAATAAATGGACGAAGCAATAACCAAGCATGTAAGTTATAGTGTGAAATATGTTCAAAACAGTTTGAAATTGACATCTGAAGAAGGAAATAAGCCAAATATTGGTGTGCATTAGGCTAATTTCGTCCTCCTCTCATAGAACAAATGAACAAGCATCAAAACTAATGTACAAGTGAAACAGCTTAAAGGGATAGTTGAGTTTTGTTTTCAGACTGCAAATGCCTTCAAAGTGCATGGTTATTGCTCTTATTCTTATCTATGACATTTACATTGCCTTTTTAGAACCTAAAATTGCTACAAAGGTAATTTAGACCCCAAAATTGGCATTGGCTGAAATATGATGTAAAAGGAGTTATTTTGTTTTTTCAAAATATCTAATATTTTTGGTGGTACACAAGTATTAGAAATCGTTATATTTCAGCCATCCTTCAACCGATTTTGATCAAACAAAGATGATTTTGTCATTTAAATATTATAATCTTTCAAATTTGACATTCAGTTTTTCATTATCTCACAAAAAAATTATTCTGCAACAGAACTCAACTTTCCCTTTAATAAATGAAACATTGAATTAATCTGTAGCTGAATGAAGGAATAAATATATAAATAATTGATAAGTAAATTTCCAGAAAAATAATTGAAATCAGGAAGTGTTAGGTTTCCAGAGTGAAGATAGATGTCAGTGAGGTCTTGACATTTCGATAAACTTGTAATTATCTTCTGGACGACTTCAGGTTTGTCTTCCTGAAGAGGACAAGTACAAAGCTATTGAATTGTTAATTGTTAATTATTAGTTGCAGAATCAGTTATCAAGGATGTATGGATGTACTGCACATTTATTTATACTTTGTTAATCTGCCTATCTAACCGTAGAAAAATATCACCAGTAGTGATCTCTGGTATGTCTATGGTTGTAATTTGTGTTATTATGTTTCCATACCAAAGCCTATACCATTATGTACTCATGTTCTGTTGTGTGTTGTATTTATTCCTGATTTTGTATTTTGTATAAATTAGAGTACATGTTATTTAAATTGAGAAATTGATGTTATTTAAATTGAGAAACAGCCAGAAAATGATTTTTATGCCATGTAATTGTGCATGATCAATAAAATTGAACTTTAACTTGAACTTGAAATTAAACGTCAAGCATGAGCAGACCCTTATTAGGACCAACAATTGCAAGATATCAAGAAAGAAGTTCTAGAAAATTGAAACAGTGTCTGTAAGTGAAGACAACACGAGGCATGTGCTGTTTAAGATAGCCGATTCATATATGCCTTGATTGCTCTATTGTACATTGCAGCAGCAAGTCTCCCCGAACTGAAGAAAGAGATAAAAGAAAAATGCCTCTCTTCCTTCAGTGCTGACCAGCGTTGGACCGTTTGTGGGGAGACGCTGGAGTTGAGAGACTTGCAGTCTTTGCAAGCTCCAGCTTGGATTAATGACAAGGTAATTGATTCTATAACGAGTGATAATGTGATATTGTGTGAGACTTTCTATGCATCCATTATCCTGCTTACCATGCTCAAAGTACAGAAGGGAGGGATAGGAGGCTAGCATTTAATATATATATGATTGATACATGTCTGTAAAAACTGAAATTACACAAACTCACACACTGACAATTATTTCAGTTTAATGTAGAAATGCATGTCCAAAATAAACAAGATAATAAGTTGCCTTATCCATGAGATAGAATAATTACCGTAATTATGATTATGATACCACACATGTAAATTCAATACATTTAATGTATAGGAATTTAGTAGGTGATATTATACACCATTACTTTCTTTATTGTTAGGATTTAAAACTATCCAAAATCAAGGTTCTTCTTATCAAGCTGCACAATGTAGAAAAACTTGAAAAATCGACAAATTACAAATTCAGATAATATTGGGTGTTAAATTTCCTATAGTTCTATCTTTTTTCTAAAATATGTCCATTTTAGTTGGAACATGTGTGTCTGAATAAAGGCCATTTCTCTCTCACTTTCTCACTAAGAGTACCACATGATATGATTGCAATGCATTTTATGTATTCTTTCATTTTCAGGTCATTAATTCATTTCTATCCCTCCTGAAGAAGGAGACGAATGAGAGTGAGACTTCTACCAACAGAATCTTTGTGATACCATCATATGCTCCAGTACACTGGGAGAGGGGCATGTTCGACACGTGGCGCTTCAGATCTGTAAGTTTCTATGACAGTTGTATGATTATATCAATTATATGTGAATGGAATTTTCAGAACATCTACAACACCAGACTCAATATACATATCTATTTGTTTTCTAAAACAGGTCAACATGGAAAAGTATGAGTGGATTCTACTACCAGTTAATGTTCATAGGAACCATTGGCTATTGTTAGCAGCTAATGTGAGGGAGGGCAAAGTCTCTATTCTGGACTCGTTGCCTAACAAGAAGACTGCAAATGTCTGTTTCCAGAGATTCAAGTGAGTAGTTCATGTATTTTTTTTCCTATAAGGTGACAATCAACTAAAATGATAACATATTTTCCATGAGAAAGCATTTCAATCAAATACCTTTCGCAACCTTAGTAGTATTTTATAATGATGAGGATGGTGGCCCCTCAAGATTTATTCTTTAGATGCAAAATTCATTTTTTTATCATTTCTTTATGCATTGAATGAATATGCAAATAAATGACTTGACGTCATTGCCTCAAAATTGCACATTCAATTAGTGCACAAAGAGAAAAACAAAATCTAAGTTTGTAAGTTTTAAATTTCAAAGCTTGACCTGACTCCTCCCTGAATTTAATAACAATTATGATTTATCAAACATATTGTAATATGATGGCAAGGTATATTTATCAAAATTTCAAATGTAAAACTAGCAAAGTTGCAAAATGATGAACATCATTAACGCATTCATTTGCCTATTCATATTTCATGTCTGAATAGCAATATTTTGCTAGGAAGTCCTTACTGTATTGAATTTTTGAAGGAAGGTACATGTAAGTAACATGTTTTTATATATATAGCGGTTGGTTGAATGTCAGGGTCAATTAAAGGTCAATGAACCTACTCCGAAAATGACAATTTTCCCCAAGCATTCATTTTTAACCAGAAATGATTAAGCAAGGAATATTGTGAGATGTTTATAAAGAGGTAAATAATGGCAAGCGGTTGGATGCATGCCGAATGACTGCCCGCAGTTGTGCTAATCTACTTATTCTTCTTTTTTATCATCCTTTTTATTTGTTTCTGCAGAGAGTACATGGAAAGGAGGGCGCAATTCACTGGTGACCTCAGTAACATGAAGTGGACACTTGGGATTATCCAGTCAGCCAGGCAGAGAGATGGACACTCATGTGGTGCATTTGTTATGATGGTAATTACGTTTAACCTATATTTGGCTACCGGTATATTCATTTTTGAATACTTAGGTGAATAAGATAATTTTGAAAATTTATTTATAATTTTGGCAAAATAAAAATTTTAATGACGAAGGAAAAACAAGAAAATTTGAAAGCTTTAGGTTTGGCTAAAGTTGCATACAGATTGTGTTTTTCTTTGTAAAAACCCAGAAGAAAAAAAAATCAATTTTGTACTATTTTATGCGAGTAAAATACTGAAAAAACAGGAATAATTTAAAATTTGAAAAACTGCCGTTTCATGGCTGCCATGGCAACAGGGATGACACAGTTCAATTCACTACAATAGCAAATTTTGTCCATAGTAAGAGCCAGCAGCAATTGTGTTTGGAGAAGAAAAAAATCCAACATTTCCATATTTATTGTACAAAATAAATGGAAGTTTCATTAATTTTTACAAAAGATTATTGCTTCGTGAAAACTAGTGAATCTATATATACTTTCTTAAATTCCTTATTTTTCATCCAATTTCAGACAAATTTTAATTGTTTGTGTTTGTAAAGTCTTACTCTTTTTATTTATATTAACTTAAAAATGGACCGAAAAAGTACTTTAAAGTGAGATGCTGCTTGTAAGTATCGGCTTGCATGGTGATGTAGATATACAGTAGGCTTGCGGGTGCACCATGTGAGAGAGAGGGAGGATTGAGGAGTCCTGAAAAGGACTCTTGGTAATCTTTCTTGAGGGTGTGTAGTCCTGAAAAGGACTGTTGGTGTAGTCTTGAAAAAGACTGTTGGTTATCTTTCTTAGCTTATAGTTCTAAGGAGAACTATAGCGCTTGGAGAGGATGGGTGGCAGGAGTGGCTCGACGTTTCGAACAGGTTGACTATCCGTTGTCAGGAGTTGATGTGATACCATTAGGGGTATCACATCAAACTCACCTCACTAATCTATATCTTGCAAGTCAGCAATGCCTCTCCTCCCTCTCTCTCACATGGTGCACCCACAAGCCTACTGTACACTAAAAATGGTCGCTTAGGATGAATGCATTTACTTCAACTTTGCTATTGCATCTCTGTATTCTTGTTTCTTTTGTAAAAGCATTGCAATGAATGGTTCTTATGTGCAAAGATACGCTTATTTTATCTATCGTTTCTTTTTTAATTATACTGCAGAATGCTCTAGCTGTAGTTAAGGGCGTGGATCCCACCAAACTTGGGAATAAGGCAGCAGCAATGAGAGTATATGTGCAGCACCAGCTACTGGAAAACTCTATTTCCCCTAAACAACCCCTACGTATTTGTGATATGCTGACCTGTGCCTTATCTCATGTGCGGCAGCAAAAAGATGAGCCATGGGTGAGGTGCGATGTGTGCGGTAGATGGCTACATTTGAAGTGTGTAGCTCTTGAAAAGCCACCACCAGCTGAAGATGATTATGTCTGCCCTGTTTGCTTGGCACAATACCATTAGGGGTATCACATCAAACTCACCTTACCAATCTATATCTTGCAAGTCAGCAATGCCTCTCCTAGTCTCCAAGTTTCTACATGGACCTAGAACTTACTACATGTATTACGTGAAATTTTGAAGGGGGTGTAGCATGAGAAGACTACATGTCTTTCCCGTGGCCTGACTAGGGGCCAATCGGGTATAATACTACGATGGATGACGCGACCGCAGTATTCATGTGCTTGCAACATTCATGAAAGAGAAGTGTGAAGAGAACTTTGTGGTCTGTTTCGCAAACGCTAGCGCGCTGACCATTGATCAAGTCCATTTGTTTATGTGCAGTTGTATAAAAGAAGTTGTAGATGGTATTGACCAGTTTTTGCCATGCAACACCCCCTGTATACATTTTGGTGCTGCTTGTTATGCCTCCGTTACGAAGTAGCCGGAGGCATTATGTTTTCGGGTTGTCCGTCCGTCCGTACGTCCCGTTCTCGTGATCGCGTTATCTGAAGAACCGATGGATGGATTCCTGCCAAACTTTGGTCATGTATGTATCTTGCAGAGCCGATGAACTGATTAGATTTTGGGGTCACGAGGTCAAAGGTCAAAGGTCACAGGGCTCATTATGTATGCAAAAACAGCTCGTGATCGCGTTATCTGAAGAACCGATTGATGGATTCCTGCCAAACTTAGGTCATGTATGTTACTTGCAGAGCCGATGAACTGATTAAATTTTGGGGTCATGAGGTCAAGGTCAAAGGTCATGCGGCTCATTATGCATGCAAAAATAGCTTGTGATCGCATTATCATTAGAACAGATTGATGGATTCCTCCCAAACTTAGATCATGTATGTATCTTGCAGAGCCAATGAACTGAGTAGACTCTTGGGTCATGAGGTCAAAGTCAAAGGTCATGGGCTCATTATGTATGCAAAAATAGCTTGTGAACGCATTCTCATTAGAACTGACAGATGGATTACTATTTAACTCGGGACATCTTGCAGAGCCAATGAACTGAGTAGATGTTAGGGTCATGTGGTCAAAGATCAAAGGGTCATATATGTATATGAGAAATTGCTTGTAATCACGATATTCTGAGAACCTGTTAATGGATTACAAATGAACTTGAATTTGAACAATTTCTTCTGTTTTGGTTTGTAAAATTGCTCTATGACGGAGGCATCATTTCGACTGCGCGCAGTCGAAGTTCCATCTAGTTTAATCTTCCACACTGGAGGTTAGATGAGACTTACCGTAAGGTCAGGATGCGAATATTGCCTTTTTCTGTTTTTGTTTGTGTTGCCAAATGTCACTTTCAAAGGCTGATAGTCATTTAAGAAAATATTTTAGGGATTACTGGCAAAGTTTTTTTGCAACCACAAATTTCAAACAACCTTGGACGGGAGATGCAGTAGCGAAGTGATCAAATTGTTGGGTTGTTTAGATGTCACTTTTCTAGGTCAAGAGCATTGTGAGTTATTTATTTAGAAAAAATGCTTGAAAAAAGATATTATTGCCCAGTTTTGTAACACTGAATAGAGTACTCTGAAATTTATAGAAAATACAACCTCAGATATATACGTAAGTTATTATACTGTTAAGTAAAAGAATCCCCAAATATTTCAAAACTTTATATCTATAATCAAGGTCTTTGTTATATCACTGCACAATGTGGCCGAACTTGAAAAATCACCTTATTTCTTTGATTTGTTATGATTTATATAATTCATAGAATATTGTGTGTGCATTTCATATAATTCTGTATTTTTCCAAATTATGTTTTACCGGTAGTTGCACATATGTGAATGAATAAAGACCATTTCTCCCTCTTATCTATTTATCTGCTAAGATGCTAAAAATCGGTTAACCCTTTTACTCTTGTTTTCCTACCTTATAAAGTGATTTGCTCCTACTTATTTAACAGAATTTCTTACCCTATATGGTCCAAACAGAACCCTCGGATCTTCCCAAAAGTCTCTCCTCACCATTCCACAAATATAATACTAAATTCTACGGGTTTTGCTCTTTTCAGGTTGCATCGGCCGAATTTTGGAATAAATTAGCGGAAAATCGAAAAAACTGTGATACTGTTGACAACTTTAAGGCGCATCTTAAAACATTTCTTTTCAAAAACACTTTCCATTGTTAACGAGAGAAAGTATGTTGAGCATATCTTAAATTTTTCTTATGTTAATCTATCCATCTTTCCTTCTTACTCTTTCCTACAGCGCATAGAGACATATTGTGATATGCGCTATATAAGTACCGTATGTTATTATTATTATTATTTGATAATATTGTTAGAACGTATTTATGCTGATTGTGCCATGATTACTAGGAAATTGATTTCAATACATTTACATACGTTTTTCGCCCAGATGTCATGGGCAAATTATTATTCCAAATTTGACAAAATGGAACATGCCTAAACAAACAAAAGTGAATCTTTGGTAGGCCCCCCCCCCCCACATAATAAGGAAGATATTTTAAGAATTTTTGCAAAGTTCTTTTGCAACTTCAAAATACTTCAAAAATTAGTTTGAAAAATATGTGTGTTTTTTTAGCCAGTTTTGCCAACACTACAATTTCCAACCAAAAGCAATAGAGATTATACACAAAAATATTTTAAAGATATTTTTGGTTTAGTAAGAATATTTATCAAAACATATATTTAGACAAAATATTTGATACTTGGAAATAGGCGCCGCTTTTCTGTTGACAGCTGCGGCGTCAACAGGTTAAGTTTTTGAATTTTTTAAAGTGTAAGTTCTTATTCACTGAAAAATTGATTAAAGAGTTATCTATAATCTCCAATGATGTGAGTACAATTTCAGGTCACAAAGTCAAGGTGAAAGGTCATTTCAGATTTAAACAATTAGACTGTTGTGGCATCATGATAAAAAAACTTAACCCGGGGTTAGGTTTTTGAATTTTTAACATAATTTTAAAAGTGTATATTCTTCTTCCATGAAACTTGAACATAGGGGTTGTAAAGTATCCCCAATCATGTGAGTAGAATTTAAGGTTGCAAAGTCAAAGGTCATTTCAGGTGAACAAACTTTGACTCCAGTATGTTGTGGCATCAACATCAAAACTTGACCAAAGGTTAAGATTTTGAATTTTTATCATAATTTTGTATACATTCCTATTCCATGAAACTTGAACATAAGGGTTAATAAGTATCACCAATCATAGCTCATTAAATATGCAAAACACCTAATTATATATGTGAAATTGTGGTTAATTTCCTTGCCTATTAATATAATGGTATAGTCCAATGTTCTGATGTATATAGGACATTTGTAACCTGCGAGGGGATGCTACGCTTTGCGTTGACCTGTTTATGTTATCATGATTTTAAAAGTGTTGGTTTAAATTCCATGAAACTTGTACCCAAGGGTTATCAAGTATCACAAATCATATGACACAAATTTCAGGTCACAAAGTCAAGGATATTTTAGGTCAGTAGACTTGGATTATGTTTTCACAACTTAATCAATTTTTGGTTTTTGTTCCTATTTCATTAAAGATAACAATCTTGGTAAAAATTAGAGTAAATAATTCCTCTGGTGATTCTAAGTCAATATTCACTTCAAATGCCGATTATATTCAGAGGATTTCAATTTGGGGGGCCTGCTAACGGGCCACCCTGCCTATAAATAATGTCCTAACCTCAATTTTTAATCATATTGAATTGTGTAATGCAGGCGACACCGCCGAGAGCGTTTCCCCTGTTTTATATTTTTCCCCAGTTTTGGAACACTCCAATAATGCAACCAAAAAAAGGACTCTGAAATTTATATGAAATATAACCTCAAATATATATGTAAGATATTTTTCTGAATAGTAAAAGAATTACAAGAAATATTTATGAAATAACTTTGAAAAATAGGGTTTTTCTCAGCATATTTTTGGAACCAAAAGCATAAAAATGTCAGGCATTTTGCAGGCATGCTGATTAGTGATGCAGTGCTTGCACGAACCTTATAAACATACATAAAAAAGTAAAGGCAAGGCACACACAAAAAGAATAAAATGATGTCTTTATCATAGAAACACATATTATGATGCATGTAACAGGTGCAATTACTTCAGATGTATTGTGAGAATTGGGTGCAGGATAATAATCAATGAAATCTGCAGGTTTTTGAGGAATATGAATGGTTGTAAAATTACACTAACTAATAAAAGGGGGACAATATACCTTCAAATATGCTTGTAGCTAGTTCAACTCCGAACACCACAAAAATGTTACTATTTGATTTTTTGTGTACTCCTTTTATTGAATTTTATTCAAGCAAATCAGTCCCCTAATACATGTACTGTATCTTTAAAATTAAGAAAATTATGGAGTCATGTTTTTTTCTGTACATTGTTTTTTAAATAAAACAATACTTATAATCCAATTATTTGAAATTGATTTAATCCTTATATTACTTAATATTTATTGTGCGTGGCTGGATGGTGTAAAAGGTGGTGTGAAGTGAAGATCTTTCTATCAATTGCATAATTGCTAGATCAATAATAATGATAATAATAATTGTTCTCCATTCACTTTAAAAAAATTAGTGACATGTACACTTCACTCTGTCATAGTCGAATCCGTTGGGACTATAGAAAAAATATAGATTTCACCTAGACAAAATCTGACTTAGGTAAAAAAAAATTAAAATAAAGAGCAGGACTTTAAAAACCTTTGACTTACGATTATTTGACTGAGCAGAGTTGACTGTATGACAAAGTAAGATTCAACAAAATTTGAAGGGAAAGAAAACATACATGTAGTTGGCAGTCACATGTTAGTTACAATAAATTACATATTTGAAAACTGGCAAGTGATTATGAGCAGTCTTGAACATTATATTTTTGTAATTTCGTTTGACCAAGAGTGCCAGAGTACAGGGTCAGATGATGAGAATGTTCTGTTGCCATATGTGAAATAACATATTGGACTTAATTAACCTAGGGTGTGTGCTGGAGTGTGCTCGTTTGCAAAATCTGTGTACTTTTGTGTGAGGTATTATTCAAAGCTTTGAAAGTATTATGAGTATATCTTAATGAATACATACTCCAGTTAAAAATAACTTACTTGCTATGAAAATGGAAAAATGAAACACATCAGTTCGAGAAAACTCGACAACAATATAAAAACAGTTACAGGTATGATCCATTCTAGGTCTTTCAAAACCATTCAAAATTATCCATGCTGAACATGAATATGTATATTTGGAATGGGTACCAATGTGGAAGCCAGGCAGTGTCATCACTTTGCAAATTTGTAATATTTAGAAATTCATAATTAGTTAATAATTTTCAGATATTTCTCTAATTTCACTTATTCAGTTACTGATTTTCTGACTTTTTAGAACGCAAATTACTTTGTTACCGGGATGACCCGTTTCTCAACTGATAACCAGTGAGGTGTATTGTAATGTAAGTCTTGAGAGGGCAAAGAAAAGTGCATGTATGATCCTGCATTACTG